AACAGTGCCTGGCTCACAGCAGTTCTCTATCCCTGACAGTTTTCTTCACCTTTTGCTTTTACCCACTGTAGCAAAACTGTTTACTGCATCCACAGGGTTGTTTCTTGACGTCATGTACTTTACTGTGGGAAGCCCTAGCTCAGTGTTTCTCAAAGTATGAGGTCTGAACCAGCAGCATCCGTATTACCTAGGACCTTGTTAGAAATGCAACTTCTCAGGTCTCGCCTCAGACCCACTGAATCAAGAAACTCTGCCAGTTGTGTTTTTAAAAGCCCTCCAGGTGATTCCGAGGCAGGTTCAAGTTTGAGAACCACTGTCTTAAGATGTTAGTTCAAGTAAATAATTTTAAGCACTTGTGAAATGCTCACACTTCACAGTGCTTTCACATATTTGAATTCATTTGACCCTCAGAAAACAATCCTGTCAAATATGTTAAACAAAAATCATTATGTCATTCCTCTGTTTTTTTCAAGGAGGAAATTTATATCCAAAAAGACAGCTGTCTCACTTAAGGCCACATGGTCAGACGGTAGTAGAGCAGAGCAGGCAGGTCAGTTTTCCCAGGCCAGCTTTGCCCTTTGCCATCCCGCAGAGTTCCACTAACTACTCAGCTGCTGGAAATCAGCTCCCTAGACCTCTCAGTCTTTGTGAAACAAGCTCAAATACTGCTGCTTTGCACAAGCGACCTTCCCTCCCTGGACTTGACTTTCTTATCTGTAAAATGAGGTCATTGAAATTAGCATCTCCTGCTATGTGTGCATCCTACACACGTGGGTCCCTTTTGATGCCCAGGGATCCATGGCCAAATAATTTTGGAAATAATGTATCCACTTATCCCTCTTGGAAATTCTCAGTGCATAGTGGTCTTTTAAAAGTTCTGGGAAGTCCTATCCAAAAATAACCTGCTTAAATTTGTGTTTCCCAATGGGTTTTTTTTTGTTGTTATAACATCCTTACAGAAATAATCTTCCATGAAACAAATCTTGGAACTGCTGAATGAACTAAACACTAAGATGATGTGGTTCTGTAATTTTTCCAGTCCACAGTCCAGTTTATTAACTCATATCAGGAGGCATAAAACAAATCCATTCAGCTCCTGCTACCACTTTCAAAGCCGGTTTTATTCACCTCACTTTCGGGTAACTTGGGTCCAATCCCTCTAAGTCATTTCTCCTCCATTCCTTTTCTATCTTGCTAGGTTCATTAAAAAAAAAAAAGGGGTAGATATCTTCTCCCTTGCACTGGCTTGTAAGTGTTTGTAAAAATTATCAAGATTTACCAAGCACATGTTAGAAGAAAAATTACTATGAAATTCACACCTGACTCCACACTGCTTTACAGAAAGTTTCTTTCTATAAGTGAGAACTTAAGTCATTCTGAAGCCAGACTTTTTATTCCACTTGAAGCTCTTTCTCAGTAAGCCCAGCCAATGAGAGTAAGCAGAGGAAACCTAAGCAACACCAGCAAGCAGCAGCTAAGCGGGGCCCTCACCTCACGGCATCTGTCGCCAGCCTCACATCTGGACTGTTGCAGAGCATCATAAGAGAAAGCCGTGGGGCTCAAACAGACTTGCATAGACATGTCTCTCCTTTTAAAAATGAGTGTTGTGGCATCTGTTCATGGAACCCTCTTGGGTTTCCAGGATCTCTTGATCTCAGGCCAATAGAACAGTGGATTTTATCGCATAGATGCCAGAGCTTCTGCCATTAGGAAGAGGTAGAGGAAAGACCGGAGCGAGGCTGGAGATTCCACGTGCTTGATGCCTCAGGATGAGCATTTCTTGCAACCCTCTTGTGTTAACGTGCCGACTTCAAATTTTTTAAAGTGAATTATTTGTGTATTTCTTAGCAGTCTTCCTGAAAAAAAAAAATAGCAGTGATGCTACTTTTTCTTCTCTCCACCAGGCCTTTACTCACGTGCTTCCTCCTCCTGGAATGTGTTCTATGCCAGAGCAACCTGTCAAAATACTCCTCTTCCTTAAGTGCCAGATTTATATGTCATCTCTTTGATGACGCAGCCTCTGATCTTCCCAGCCAGAATTAATCCCTCCCTGGTCTCCTGTAGCATTTTGTATTTCTTAGATAGCACACATCCAGCTACTTTGTAGACTGAAAATTTGTGTGTGTGTGTGTATGTGTGCATATGTGCGTGTGTATACCAGTCTCTCCTACTAGTTTATAATTCCCTGAGTGTAGGGACCATAGCTTACCATAGCTTCCAGCCTAGGCCCTGCACATACTAAGTGCCCAATAAGTGTTTATTGAATTAAATTTGCCTTCACCACCTTGTTAGCCAGGACTATCTTGGTTGCAGGTAAAAGAGACCCAATCCAAACTGGCTTAGACAAAGAGAAAGATTGGTTCATGTTCCTAGGGACAAACATTAGAATATATTGGCACATACAATCCTAGGGAGTTCAAGGTAAGCCCTGAATATGGGGTGGCCCAAATTACCTCATCACGGATCAGCTTCTGCATCTCTCATTCTGACTCTCAGAGCTAATGCTTACTAAAATTACTCAGTCCTGTTCCATCCTTGAATGAATCATTCTGGCAGAGGGAGTGGAGTCTACCGATGACCAAACCTTGGTTATATGTTTCACCACGTAACCACGGTGATCAGCCCCATTTGAACCATGGTGATCAGCCCCATTTGAACCAGGAGGACTGAGCGTGGTGCAGGAGTGGTCCTTCTAGCAGAGGAAGGAGGCATGACGGCTAGGCAGCAAAACAACAGATATCACAACAGCCCCCTTACAGTAAGAGATGAAGATGCCCTTGACAATTAGAACTGTCAAACAATGGGATAACCTCTCCTGCAAGATACTGAGCTGATCATCCATTTGTCAGAAATATTTTGTAGAGACTAGGAGGGTCTGGACTTCTAAGGTTCTCTTAATGCTCACATCCTTTAAAACATATTTACAGTGACGAGAGAAACAAAGAGAACAGAACACTATGGAGCATGACTGCATTTTTTCTTCTATTTTTTTCCCCCAGAGAGCAGATGTGGCCGTGGCCCCTTTAACAATCACCTTGGTCCGGGAAGAGGTGATAGACTTCTCCAAGCCATTTATGAGTTTGGGGATCTCCATCATGATAAAAAAGCCACAGAAGTCCAAGCCAGGGGTCTTCTCCTTCCTCGACCCTTTGGCTTATGAGATTTGGATGTGCATCGTGTTTGCCTACATTGGAGTGAGTGTCGTCCTTTTCCTGGTCAGCCGCTTCAGTCCCTATGAATGGCACAGTGAAGAGTTTGAGGAAGGCCGGGACCAGACAACCAGTGACCAGTCCAATGAGTTTGGGATCTTCAACAGTCTGTGGTTCTCACTGGGAGCCTTCATGCAGCAAGGATGTGACATTTCTCCCAGGTCAGTGCTCTTCTCAATTCCTTTGCTCAATGCTATGTTTTTCTTGGAAAAAACAAATACTAGAAAGTTAAGGGATAGGAATTATTTGTGGAACTGGTCGTGTTCAGTTTTTCAACTCTGCTTCACATTGCATGCTATGGATTATCTGGATGCATCCTGTGTCTGGGCCAGCTCTGTCTGCTGTCTGGTTGATGTGCTCTGTCAGGATTGATGGACATAATCACAACTCTGATGTTCTGTAGCTGAAAAGTACAAAGGAAGGATGGGGGAACAGTATGGTACAACTAACATTTATTGAGGACCTGCCATCTGCCAGCCAAGGTTGAGTCTTCTACATGCATGTATCTCATTGAAACTTCACAGAAGCATATGGTAGGACTCTCATTATATCTCCTTTTATGAATGAGGAATCACAGAAATGTTGAATATCATGCCAAGGTTAAACGGCTAGTCACGAGGTGAATTGAGATTCAGACCACCATCCGGTACTATTTCTAAATGGTAAGTAGAAGGGGCACTGAATTATGAGTACGTTCTAGTACTGGCTCTAGTACACTCTGTGTGGCCCTGAGTAAGTCACCTGACCCCCCCAAAAACCGTGGCATCTTCATTTTTAAGAAAAAAGAGTTCTCTTTTTCTTGGTTCTGAGAAAGACCTTGGAAATAATCTAGTTCCAATGCTGATATAAATCTGTTTCTTGCGGTTCGAAAATGAGGTTCTTAGAGATGCCTCAAATATTACGCTGTGAGTACTGGTGACCAAATCAGGGAGGAAATGAAGTGGCTGTATTTTTGTCTGTTTTATATATTGGACATATGAAAAGTATTTTTTTTTTTGATATAGGATTCTGATGCGAAGGAAGGAAGGAAGGAAGGAAGGAAGGAAGGAAGGAAGGAAGGAAGGAAGGAAGGAACGAAGGAAGTAAGGAAGGAAGGAAGGAAGGAAGGAAGGAAGGAAGGAAGGAAGGAAGGGTAGAAAATGGTGGAGAAGAATTTGAAAACTACTAGTCTAGACCAATTCTCACATTTATTCTCCTGTCTTTGTGTAATGTTCTTTCAAGTACATTCTGAGATGTCCATGCCACAAATCCACTCCAATTTACCTGATAAATAGGCACTGACTGTATTTTCTTTTGCAATTGCATAATCTTTTTCCAGTAGGAGGCAGTCCCTCGTTGATTACCAAGTTTCTAAGCTTGCAAGGAGGCATGATTAAGAATTTTGCCTGCCACAGATAGATTTGCACACGTGCTCACTTTCTGAGGGCATAATTGCACATGTGTCAAGGACATGTGCTGGAGGTATCTTTACCACAGATAAGATTATTTTGCATTTGAGTATCAATGAGGATCAATATTCCTAAGTAGCGGTGGAATAAAATCTTCCTGAGAAGCTTTCCACAAGACTCATTTTGCCTACTCTGTAATTTAGATATTCTCATTGTTCACCATTATAATTTTGTTTTTCTTTAAATAAGAACACAGTTGGGGGTGGGGGTGTGTGGGAGAGGAGGTGTGAGACTGGATACTTGGCCAATACTGGCAAACACATGGTGAAGAGTAGATAAAACCAAGCAGGGGAAGGGCTTGCTTAAAAATAAATCAGTCCGGTGGATAAACAGCAGGAAGAAAGAAATGATTCGTATCTAGTCAGGGTAATGTAGGGCTATCAAAACATGCGTGTGTCTCAAAAGACCTACAAGCTTGTTTTTTATGTATTCGTTTCTTCCTCAGTGGACATCTTACCTCTTAATGGCACCCTTGTGGTCTGACGAGGTGGCTGACAGCTGAGTCCTCTGCTGAGCATGTTTTTGTTGGACCTGCACAGAGCTTGGCAATGGTTGTCCAAAACTGAGTGGCAGCTGCCCTGTGCAGCCGATCCGTGCATTCCCCACTTCGGCACAGCCCCATGCTTTCATTCCTGTTACTCAACTGGCCTCAGGGAGGGTGCTTGAGTTTGTCACCTCTGGCTGCGAGAGGGTTTTCCAACTGTGTTTCCAGGACTTCTGAGGGTTTCACTGGGGCATCTTAGGAATGGATACTGAGGTGCAGATGAGACTGAGTGAGAACATATATGGCCTCTCTTCACCCAATCTTTAATAAAACTACTCCACTCGATTCTGCTGTTATTTCACTGGTAAAATGGAAAAAAGGGTTCTACCTCGAGTATTGTTATAAGATTAAAAAGGGATTGATACACGTAGACCCCATAACAGTATCTAGCCAGCAAAGAGAACGCACTATAAAACTCATGCTTTTTTTTTTAATTACTTTGTTGATTTTATATACTGGGTTTCTACAAAACTTCACTAGAAGAAAGGGTTCTCACACTGATTTTAAAACCACTGGACTTCTTTCTTCTGGAGAAGTCCAGGGACAAATCAGAAATGGTCAGTGGTTCCCTCCAGACCACAATACTTAGCTTCCCGAGACTCCTCCTCAGAGGAACTGGGATGAAGATATTATTATTTTGCATTAAAAGGTCTGACAGACATAGGCGTAAACCTCCCAGAATAAGGTATTTTATCCACCGAGATAGTCTCTTCCTTATAGAGCCTACCCGCACCAATCCCAGAGCCTAAGGGCTGAAGAAACCCCTTAAGAGTCACAATATACATCATGGTGTTTCTTGAAAATACATGCTAAACAAAAAAAGGCATATACTTCATCTCGCTAGAGCTGGACAAAAAGACAAGGACACTTAAATGGTGATCAGAGCCAGAGATCAACCAGACAACTGCAAACCCCATGGAAGCTGCTGCTGCTGCTGCTGCTGTTATTGTTGTTGCTTGTTGTTGTTGTTGTTGTTGTCATTGTGTTGTTTACACATTTCCGGATGAAGTCAATCAGTTTTATGGTATGCATAGCACGATGTTAGACACTCTGGGTGCTATGGTGGGAGGTACTTTTAAGGAGCTCGTGTACATCAAACACCCTTTCGAATGAACTTCAATTAATTGTCCTTGCTATTTACTTAAAGAATATAGCATAAATCCTCGCTAATTTAGAATTGGGGGAACTAAGTCTCATTTGAATTGTATCTGCATTCATACACAAGTGACTCTCTCTCTTTTTAAGCTCTTCAAAATTCATCTTAAAGCCAACGAAATTTGGCCCAATGTGGTTGCCTGCAAGCAACAAAATAGTCTGACTAACCTGACCACAGTCATATAAATAGATAGAGTTACATTTCTCCCATTATAAGAAAAATAGAGGCAGACAATGAAGCCAGGAGTAGCTGTTCTGTGATTTTTTTCCTTCGTATTCACAAGATGGCTGGTCCCAGATACTGTGTCCATAGTCAAGCATCAAGAAGAGGAAGAAGTGTCTCCAGCCATTTCTGTCTCTTTGAATCAAGAAACAAAAGCTTAACAGAATATTCCTCACCCCAAGCAGGTGTCTAGTCGTATCTCATTAGTCAGAGAAGCAGCCAGTGGTCACTTCTAGAGACAAAGGAGGCCAGGAACGCAAGAGTTTAGATGCTCTAGCCTCTAGAGTAGAGGTTTAGGAATGGATGTTGGGGCATCAATCAGCAGCATTGTCCAAAGTCAATGTTTTCTACACCAGCACCATGGATAGATAAAATAATATGGCACATTTAATGACGTGTACCAATCAGCGCTACTGAAATGCTTTAAAGACTCTTCCCTTTTTCCTTTAAAATGTCTATATGAAAATTTGGTTTTGTGTAACCTATTTTAACATTCAAAGTTAAAATTCGCTGTAGCTTTGATCACAGATAAGAACGCCATCCATGAATTGACTTGTAGGTCTGCTTCTTATGCCCAAAGATCTATTTTTAATACATATTTTAGATTTATTTTTTCATAGAGAGGAACATTTTGAGAAGGGATATATTAAAAGAGAGACAAAAATCATCACAGTCAAAATTTCTCTTTGGTTCCCTCAACTTTCCTTTTCATACCTTTTCCCTTCTTTGCAGCCAGTGTCATTTATTTATTCAAAAGATGTTATTAATTGCCTATGACATAGATGGCATGGTACTAGGTGCTGAGGATATGAAGATATGTTGATGATGGAGCATGCGCGTGGGAATATTTGCTTCAAGGAGCTGGTAGTATCATGGTATAAAACAGGCATTAAACAAGAAATTGTGAATGTATAAATTGTGATATGCTATGAATAAAACGAATCTATTGTAGCAATAGATAAGGGAAGTGGAACTAACGGGGACTTACTTAGGGTATTCTAAGAAGGTTTCTCTGACGAGCTGATAGGTAAAACGCTAGGTTTATTATAACCGAGAGTCATAACAGCCCTATGCAAAGGCCCTTAGGTAGAAAGGAGCTCAGTGTTTTCAAGGATGGAAGGAGTGACCAGTGTGTCTGAATTGTAGTGAATGAGGAAGGTAGGGCTTTGAGATAACATTAAAGAAGTAGGTGAAGACAGAGCATATAGGGCCCCGTGGCCGTGGTATAGATTTGGAGTTTTACTCTGAAGGGGAATCAAGAAGTGGCCGTGGTATAGATTTGGAGTTTTACTCTGAAGGGGAATCTATACCCGTGGCCGTGGTATAGATTTGGAGTTTTACAATGTCTTTACAGTGGAAAGACATTGGAGAGTTTTAAGCAAAGGAAGAATTGATTTACATGCTAAAATACCACTTTGGGGAGCTATGAGCCAAATGAATTAAAGCAGAGAATAGTCAAGAATGGAAGCAGAGGGACCAAGTAAGATGCTCTCATGGCCATCCAGGGGAAATTATAGTGCTGGAAGTTATGATGGTTGTGGAGATGGATATTTGGTCTACTTTGAAATTAAAATTAACAGTACTTTCCGATGGACTGGATCCGTGTGGGTGATGAGAGGGAAGCATCAATGGTGAATCCAAGAGGTCAGAAGCTTTTGGAAAACATGAAACTGCAGTAGCAGAGACATTTAGCTCAGTGGGATCATTAGGATGATTGAGGTTATCTATCTCATGTTACAGAGGAGGAAACACACCCAAGAGGAGAATTTTCTCTAAGGTAATTGAGGCAAT